AGCTGCAGAGGGGCTAATCTAAAAATAATTAAGTCACATAAAAGATCATATTCAACAGGTAATAATAGATTATAAGTAATAATAGTATGTCCAGACTTATAATATGGTGGGCGAACCTAGCCGTATTAATGAAGAAACAACTGATTGCACAAATAGAATATAGAAGAATCTTTTTTAAAAGATTATATATATACTAAAATATAAAGCTGCAGAGTTTGTTTGTTTGAACGTGCTTATCTCAGGAACTACTGGTTCAAATTAAAAAAATATTTTTGTGTTATTTAGTAGATTTGAGGAAGCTGAGATTGAGGAAAGCTATAAAATGATATAAAACATATCGCTGTGACTAACAGGAGCGAAGAATATGCGGGAAATGTACAGTATATTATGTCTATCTTATAAGATTAACTTGCAAAAACGACGGGACGCGTTCGCGGTAACAGCTTTAATTTATAAAGGTGAAATGGAGGCCTGCAAAAACGAATTTGGATGCCCAAAATTACTATCTACGCGGACGAAGTTGCTGACACAGCTAGTATTTTATAATATTAATTTTCATAATAATGCAAAATGGGAAATGCACTCTCATATCGAGTTACTCGAGATAATTTAACTTATCCATAAGTTAAAACCATTAATTAAATATTAAAAATGTTTAATTTTAATAAAATGATCCTTTATTATATATAATTCAAATTGCATTTCAAACAAATAATAATTTTCTGGGCTTGCTCTACATATTGGCATCTATTTAAATAAAACACTTTAACGGTTTAAAACGCAATATATATTAGTTAAACTTATTTGAAAATGATTTTAACTACGGCCCGACGTTTCGGATGCTTAGCAACAGTCGTGGTCACAGGGAGACTAAAGGTGGAGGGTATCTGACGTCAGAGACACCCTCCATCTTTTTAGTTTCATTTAAATGTGTACTATTCGCGTAAACTACAGAAAATATTGGCAAGTATGCAAATACAAAGAACGCTTTAAAAATATGTAATGAATCTCCAAATATAGATCGACACTCATCTTGTGTAGATCTATATGGCTGGATATTTCACCTTTCATCAAGGAAAACCATTGCTTTTATATCTACCTCTATCATAAAAAATTAGAATGTTTTTCACAGTCAAAACAGTAACAATTTTTATTAAAAACTAAATGATTTAACAAAGGCATTTAAAAGCAAGCACAATGTTATTACGGCATAATTCTTAGTAGCTGCTTCTAACAAAACGTTTAATAACGTCTTTGAGTGAAACAGTGTCTGGAAGGAATTAATCACGGCTTTCTTTGTTGTCTTTGCTGCAAAGTTAGCTATTGATTAAAACTATCGTGGAGACAAAATATTGGAAAGTGTCCAATGTCTCTCAGGCAACATCGAAAATTCTTTAAGGATACGTTTATAATGTCTAATTTAAGTACGCGTTAAGAATATTTACTTTGCAGGTGTTATATTATTTAAATAAAAGACTTCACCGGTTTAAAACACGATGTATATTGGTTAAACTTGTTTACGTTACGGATGCTTTGCAGCGGCCGTGGTCACGTGGAGAATAAAGATGGAGGGTTTCTCTGAGATCAAAGTAAAAACTGCTACGCTAGCGCCATCTGTTCCGTCGAAGTTGGTATTTTCTCGTAGGTGTAATGGTATTGGTAAGTAGCATTGTATGGCTAATCGTTAACGGAGAGAGGGTTCGATCCCCATCAGGTTAAAAAAATTAGAATCAATTTATAATTTTTCTGAAACATGTTGGACTTCGTCTGGAAACGTTGATTTGGCTCTTCGAGTCAACATTTTCAGACGGTTAATCGCGTTTTGATTTCAGTTTGTTGATTTCCTAATATCCAATGCCAAAACAGGTTGACTTGGTTATAAGACTGGTGTTATTTATATTTTAAGTAAACACCAAGCTTGTGAATCCTCCGGGCACTTATATAAATAATAATTTAAAAACACTTTCGTTCGCAGGTAGATTGATTGAATAAATAAATATATAAAAAACTCGACCTTTTTCACTTGTATGTTTCTTTTGATTCGTTCATCGGAGACTACTCAGTCGTTATAAACAGATTATTTCACTTTGAACCCGAAAAGGGATCAAAGGACTCAGTAAATGCTACTATACTGTATCGGGGATATTGTGAGTTGATTCATTTCCTAAACCATCAAACCTTAAACATTTACATAATGTACCTGAGTCTACGACAAGAGACGATTATTCTATTACATATGAATAACTAATTAAAGAAATATATATTTAAGGACATTGTGTTAAAGTGTAAAGTTTTAATAAAAAATTTTTCGAACTGACGAAATAGAAAACAGGGCTCGTGAATGCAATGGTATCAATGTATAGCTAATATTTAAGAGGTCCTAATTTCGATTCCCACCGGGTCCATCATTGTTCTAAAAATTGAGTTCTAAATATTTTTGACGAAATCATATCATCATCATCATCGTGTCTCCCCGTGACCACGGCTGCTGCAAAGCATCCGAAACGTCGGGCCGAAGTTAAAAATCATTTTCAAATAAGTTTAACTAATATATTGCGTTTAAAACCGTTAAAGTGCTTTATTTAAATGTGTACTACTCGCGTAAACTATAGACAGTACGAAATCATACATGTTTCATGAAATTTTCTCCATAAATTGGAAAAATGATGGACCCCGTGGAGATCGAACACACGACTTGTTTTTTTTAGGCATACATCGCTAACATTAAACGAAACTCAGAATGTACACTAAGATATACTTTACTTTGGTGTATTACTTGGGTTTAAACTTTCGATCCCACGAACAGAAATCGGCAAATGATATGATAGCAACACGGCTTATGATCCTTAGTACAATTGTACTATAGATGTTACTTCAGATAATCAACGTGGGAAGACAAAGTGTTGTATTGCGGTATGTAGTCATCGTGATGTTTATGTTTATTTTTTCACCCCTAGTCAGAATTGTCTCATTCCTAACAGTACTAAATATACATTATATTTAAGGATATATTTGAACTTCTTTTGTTTCTTGATGGATGTACGTCATCATTTATAGAGTCGATTCCGTACTTCTGTGCAAAACATATAACGAACTGTCATCGAAACTTGATATCTCTTACTTTACAAGAAAGATTAAAACTTACCTACAAACTGTTTTTTAAAAACTTAATTTAGTTATTGTATTTCTTCTTTTTTTTAGCATCGTATAATATGAATATGGAGAAAAATGTGCCATATGCTAACTGCCAATCTACTACCATGTTGTCTAATTTGTTCTTCGTTACTAGAATTCACGTTATCATTTGATAAATGTCTATTTCCAATAGTATGGATACGTGTATTTCTGTAATTACTAAATAAATAAAGAATATGTTTTTAATATAACATCTCTTATTGTTTATAGGCAGATCTTGAAAATGCGGATTAGCAAATAATTTAGACCCAAAAACAAAGTGCGAGTCGCGGCCAAAGGGTCTTTTAAAGCATTGAACAAAAATATCTTATTATTTAAGTAATAAGTTTAACTAATATATCGCGTTTTAAACCGTTAAAGTGTTTTATTTAAAAGTATGTAATAAGTATTTAAGTAAGATCTTGCTGTAGAAAATGATATCCCTTCTATCTAAGTCCGCTTTGTATGATGTAATAATCTTTCAACTACGCTAGTTTTCCCGTAATAGACCTAATTGGCAATCTGCGGATAATGAACAGCGAGAGTCTCTAATGAACATTTAGCCGAAACTCTACTTTGAGTTTTATTTAATTGACTTGTTAGCGCCGACATAGATTAGATGTTGTTGTACGTATTTTTTTATACATTATATTTATTATAATTGTAATAAATTACAATTCTAATTGATATATTTGTTTCACAATGGACAACAAAATGGATAGACTGAAAATCAGCGCTGAGCATCCTTGCTGAGCACAAGCTAAGTCTGATGTTTTTGGCGCAAAGGTTAAAATCGAACTTTTTCCAACCTTTTTAATGTTAATTTTAGTTGTAAGTTGGGTACTTTGCGTTAATAAGTGTGAAATCCCGTTTCACGTCGTGGGGCATAGGGCGAACACACTCTGTCCGTTTTACAGATCGGTTTTTTTTTATAGTTGATCAGACTTCTGTGCCTTGCCCGATCGAAACAATTTACTGTTTCCCCGGGATACGAACCCAGGACCTCTCGCGCTTAAAGGTGGGCAACACGTTTAACCTATTTAGCTACAGAGGCGGTCATAAGCGGCTAATTTATTTATTGCATCACCACTACAGACACTGGAATCAATGAAATGAAACCTGATTTAACAAATTATCTATTTAACACATTAAAACACTATATTGCAGTATAATTGAGCTAAGAAAAAACAACATACATATACATACATCCTTTACATATATGTAGATATATACTGCCGTGGACTATTTTTAGGTACTTTAAAGAGGATAATTCTTTCATACGTATTTTTTTGATTTGGCCCTGTAAGATCAATAATTTTCCCTGTTTTTTCCACATTATTCTCTGTGTTGCAACCTGATGTGTAATAGTCTAAAGCCTTTCTCGATAATTGGTCCAACCAACACAAAAATATTTTTTCAATCCGAAATAGTAGTTTCCGAGATTAGCCCGTGCGAACAAACAAACAAACTCTTCAACTTTTTAATATCAGTATAAATTTCACTCACGAGCCTGCCAAACACGACTAGCAACGGTATAACATCATTTGTATTTCTACACAACTCCAAGCAAAGATAACAAGAACATATTATAATATCTAATAATCCTTCACACCACCAAATTAAAATCATAAACAAACTATAAAACTTGTAATTTAAGTAACAAATCGATAGCGTAGCTAACATGTTTAACATTATTATAATCTAACTAAACAATATTGTTTATTTTAACGACACACGAACCGAAACAAAATTGAAATAAAATAATATAATCGATACAAAACGCCATCATAATCGAATTTGTTACACATGTTAAGCATAACTCTAATATGTTAGATTGGTCAACGGCATTCAATAACATCGAATCGGTAGAACCGTACATGAAAATGTGTTCAAGATCTTTAAGTGATTTCTTTATCGTTCTGTTGTTGATTTCGGAAAGTGCTGCTGTCATCCTATGGCGTCCTGGTACAAATTTTTCGAAGCTCTTCGCCGACTATAGGAAAGAAGTGCCGAGGTACAGGGGCACGAGACGAATTTTTCACGAGATAGATCATTACAATATTATAAGTAGTGAAGGTGGAATTTTAGTGGCAATCAAAGCGTAATTATCGAAGATCAACATACAACAAATAAATGTTTAACGTGCTTACGATACTCTTATGTAAGTAAATGATTGTTTTTAGAAATATAGTTGTACTTTAAATTAATATTTTTTTAATTATTACCATTTATGCATTATACATACATACTCGTACATATATGTCTATTAATAAACGGGTCGTGGATTCGATCCTGTCTGAAAATATGGACATTAAATGAGTGGAGGAATATCGAAACTTCTGTCCGAGTGTAAGAGTTCGTAACCCAGACGGAATTTTAATATTCCATGTAATAATTAAGATGTTTCATGTGACATGTATCAGAAAAAGATTAAATTTATTTAAAAAATTTGACCCGATGGTGATCGAACCGAAGACCCGTCAATTACTAACCATAAATTGCTAATGTTACACCAACGAGCAAACAGAATTTGCATGGTTAATAGAGTTGACCAACAAAGCCGCTATGGTTAACATGCTAAAATCATAATTAGTGGGTCAACCATCAATCATAATTGGTAAATATCAGGTATCACTGGGGTGTCCCTTAAGGGGTCAATCACCCAGGGGTATTAATTCAGGGTGGTTAGATGAGGCGTCGTGTTGTCGCGACTTGGTGGCGCGACAACCGGCGAGACTAACACCTCTCGCAGGCTGCTTTCTCGAACAGAATAAAACCTTCACGCAGGGTGATTCAGAGGGAAATACTGAAATTTTTCATATTCATATTTTAAAGTGAAACACAACAAGTTTTTTCTTTACAGCACAGTAAGCAATCAATTTAATTTTTGGTTGAAATTATAAACATACGAACTGCTGTTGGTCTAAACAAATAGTAACATTCGTAGTCTATAGATCTGATGAAAAATTCTCCCTTCTCAAGACCTCCGACTGTGTTAATTGACTACTACTCCCTTATTTTAATTTCCATACAAGAAAGTATGGAATTCTCGGGTTAAAGCAATAATATCAGTACTACGACAAGATGAAAGGATTGTGGGATTTTGTTGCGCCTGAGCCATTACTTGTACATTTTGAAACACTTTCAAATGAATTTAATGTAAAAGTTATAAAGATAGATAATAAAGCTAAAAGTAACGCAAATTAATATTAAATATTGAATATTGGTTGAATATATAAAATACTATGACACAATTTTTAATAATAATTTAACCTTGAAAAAAATCACACAGCATCATTGGTAAGTTCACCTTATAGACCAGTTATGATGAAAAATTCACCTATAGGCCAGTCATTTAAAATAGCAGACTATGCATGAAGTATGAATCATAAGGATCACAAGATGAATCATGAAACTGAAATAGCTGGGAACGTGCCCACAGCCACGAAATTACATTTCCTTCCGAATCATGAAATGGATAATAAAATAATGCCTTCAGCTCGCTATGTCTGGGAATATTTTGAATATTCACTTGTATGAATACGTAATAACTACCTCCAGTATATAATTGCGTTAGCTTTCGTTTGAGTACATTGCCAAAGAATATTCTGCTTTTTAGTATATACTCACACATTGTATTGAATCTCACCATGTTTCATTGATATTTTTTTAAATTATTATATACATTCTACCCTAGCTTGGTCTCAATGCGAATGAATTTTATTATTAACACAAATATACATTGCCATACTAATCTATAGTGCTGAAGAGTTCGTTTGAACGCGGTTATCTTAAGAGCTACTGGTTCGAATTGAAAAATTATTTTTGTATTAGCTAGATCATTTATTGAGGAAGGCTATATGCTATAAATATCACGCTGCAACCAACAGGAGAAAAAATTATTCATCTTTGTGGGTTGCGTGCGTGCGAAAACGGTTGAAGATTTCAAAAAAATATATTACCTCTTTAAACGATCTAAAAAAATCTTCACAATAGTATATTAAAAGATTAACATGCAATAACGGACACGAAGGACCTCGTGGGTAACTGCTAGAACTTATAAAGATTCGTTTGGAAAAACAAATCTCGATGTCCAAAATAATTATTAAACATGGACGAAGTCGCGGCCACGGTTAGATACTTACATCTACAAATTATATGTAATATACCATAAAAAATACTGTTTAAAAATTATCAAAATTACTAAATATAAAAGTGAAAAATATATCTGCTTGCCAATAAGATAACCGAGCGATACACAACAAAATTAACATATTCCTATGCATTTCAACATGCCAAGTCACTACTATCCCGAAGATAAATGATCTAGCTGTCTAAGTAAATAGGATATATGGGGACAAAGGAAATTTCTCCTTAACGGGTAGTTGAACATACGTATCCTAAAGCTTCGTCTGCCTACGGGTGAGCTCGAATTGTCTTGACTTTCATTAAGCCTAATGTTTCTTTTTAAGATGCCTTGCTTTGAGAGTTGAAATAACACGGACGGCTTGTTGGCGTAATGGTAGCAATGTATTCCTTTTAATCAACGGGTAGTGTATTCGATCCCCACCGGGTCAACATGTTTCAAATTTTTCCAGTCTTCGTATTAGCCACGAACCACAGTCCACTGTTGAAAAAGTCGTGAAGTATATTCACGGTTCGGTTTCTGTGGAATAATAAAATAGGTCGATAGTGCATCTCCTATGGATGCTATAGGCTGAGGTATCTCACCTACCATCATGTATCCCCATGCTTATCTATCCTCCTCTATCATTAAAAAAAATACAAAACACTTTACCAAGTAGGTAGACAGATTTTTTACATAATAAAGTTTGCCGTACAGTTTTTTTATTTACACATACGATGTTTAAACACACTTTTTAATATATAATAAGTTGTAAGTAGGAACTTAGTTTAGTAGTTAAGGGACTGAAATCAGCAATGTAGCTGATGCTGAGCCGGTTACCCATTTCCCTGTATTTTCTTTTATTTTATTTTTTTTATTAAGGACTCAACGAAAGGGTAATTTTCTTTTATTATAATTATAAAATGAACTGTTTAAGTATTGCCTGTAATTGACGCGAGTAGTACAAGTCAAAATAGAACTATTTTAACGGTTTTAAACGTCTAATTAAACGCTAACTTATTCTTAATTCATTTTAATTAATATTATTGTTTCAATACTTTTCAGCTACCGTGTTCACTCATATATTTCGCGTTTATAATCGTTTAAACTGTTTTATTGAAATGTACTCGGCATATAAATAAGTTATTTTTATGAAATGGCACATTTGCTATTCTCTATTATACTTTGCAATAAAACTGGAAATTTATTACACTTAAATAATAGATTGCATTGTTATGACAGCTACATAAAACTCCACAGACTAAAAACCAATTACGTAGTTTTTCGAACAATAGCACGGTAAGTGCTACAGAATAACTATATATTTGGATATAGAATTTAGTTGTTAATAGAGTTTTCACAATGTTCACTGTTCAGGGCTAAGATTGAAATCAATGGACTTGAAACAAAGCGAGCGTTCAATTGCTATGTTGAACCTGTATTGATAAAGCTGAGGGTACATTGACAGAGTAAAATTCAGTAGGCAATTTCGGCTGACAATTGTTTAAGCTAGATAGACATTGGTTATTTATGAATAAGAAGACAATATACTGAATAGATTTTAGGTATTTCGTTCTAAATCCTACAGGGACAAGTTTAATTCCGTTTCCCCCAGTAGGGTTTGGGGCAAATACATTTCTGTGTCAGTTTAATTAATTTGTCTTATTTACAGGCTAGTAACCAGTCTTCGGTGCCCTGCCGAACGGAAACCCAGGATTCGAACCTAGGACTTTTTGCGCCTTACCCTCCCCCCGCCCCCCATTACAGAAGCACTCCTTTTTGTTTTTATTTTTTTTCATTAGGATGATATAGGAGGATAGGACACATTTGTTGTTACTCAGCAAGGTAAACGTACTTTCCTAAATGATTTATTTGGTAATACTTTATCGAAAACTCTTGTTTTAAAATAAAAATAGTCCTTTATATTGCTTGGTTCTTAATAATATATCAAAAGAAAGGTAAAAAATAGCTGACAGATTTAAATTTCAAATGTTAAGGTTTATTGACTTTTTTGATAATTAAGTGCCTAAATTTAATAACAATAAAATGGTAATAAATCTATCATAACTATCATTTCGTTTCATTATATATTCTGTCTGAAAATAAATCTTAACGTCAATCATTTATGCGTCATTGTTAAAAATACATTTATTTCACTGTTATTTTACCTACACCCAGTGTGACCAAGCCTTAGGGTAAGTCTATTTATAGCGCGGCCATTGTAATAAATGATTTTTCATTACAATCAAAGGAACAAATAGACCGTATGTAATTATTGTTAACATTTACTGTAGTGTGAATTGCACATGCCCGACTTGTTATAGTTTCCCAAGTATCACAAGAGAATTAAAAAAATTGTCTCTGATGAGGTTCCATGTAGACAATATTGTACTTGTTGTGATGGTCGTGGGTTTGAGCTCCGTTTGATGCTTTGATTTGTCGACAAAAAAATTATTACATTTAAAATCAAGCATATGCTGTGTTAAAGTTTCGAGGGATTATACAATTTCTGAGTTTACTTAAAATTGAAATAGAATCTCAAGTCAGTTGGATTCCAGCCTACGAGTAACACCATAACCTAATCTTGATTCTTAATTTATATTAATATGATAAAGCTGTAAAGTTTGTTTGTATAATCGTTTTAACGCTCGTTTGTGTTGAATTTTTATTGAGGAAGGCTTTAGGTAACATACCATCAAGCTGCGTCTATAGGAGCGTAGAAAAGTTGGAAACGGGGATAATAATTCACCGTTGCGTGCGCTGCGAAAACGATTCAAGAAACCAAAAAAATAATGTAAGAAAGAATTATTCTTTTCCAAATAATTTTAAAAATGTCTGTGACAGTATATGTGTATCTTTTAAGATTAAGTCACAAGGACCGAAAAAATACAAATCGACACTTTTGCAAAAAACAGTTTCTAGTTAAAAATGCAAACCCGGTATAACAGTAACGAGGTATAGTTATAGCGCGAAAGCTGATGTTCAGTTTGTTATAATATTGTATATTGCCATTGTTGATTTTAGTTAATTACTATGCCAATAAATAAAGCCTAGAAGCTAGCTAGCCTAGCCTATAAGATTGCATGTTATATAAAATTTAAGACAATTATTCCAATTATGATACCCATATAGAGTATTGTACCAATTGGGCTACCGATATTGTTGGTAGAGCAACAGCAAGGAACGCTGACGATGCCGGTTCAAGTCCTGCCCGAGTCGAAACATTTTTCAATTTATTTTTGTATTTTAAATTAAATAGTGCCTTCATGTGCAACATGTGAAAAACATTAAAGTTTTAATACAATATTAGTAGTTAGTTAGTTAGACAAAATAAACTTATGAAATAGAGTTCATTTTATAAACTATATTTTATCGCTATCAATTGTGACAATTTATTTATAAATGAACTAACAGAAGTAAAGTTGAGAACGTGCTGTTCTTTAAATTGTTGGTTCCAATGCAGTAACATTGTTATATGTTTTAGTTTCGCTTGTGAAGGAAACATTTTTGTAGTAGTAATTCAATAGAAGTCAGTAGGGACTTCATTTCTTCCAGTCTCTATGGTTAACATTTAATCATTAACCTTAAGGAATTTATCTGTGTATAATGTACGTGGGTGTTTAGCAACGTATAATCAACGGCTCGTGAATTCTACCCCTACCGGATCCAAGATGTTTCTAATCAATTTATATTTTTCTGAAACATGTTGACC